GCTGACACACAAATACAGAGAAAAGAAACACAAAGAAATCAAAATAGAGGTAACACTTTATTTTATTTTTTACAAATAATTTACTTAAAAGGTTAAAAGGACAATTTATTTTTGGCACTAATTGTAGCGGGAAAAGAAGCAATCGCTACACTTAAAAGTAATTAATCTAAATAAATTTGAGTATTTAGAGTTTTTAGAGTGTTGTAGCTGGTGCACATAGGTTAGCTTAACATGCATACAATATAGATGTTCACTAATAACGATAATAATAATAATAATGTAAGTAACCACTCCTGCTCACATAATGTGTGATGTGTTTTTTAAATGTTTAATTTTACACTATTAAAAAGAAAGCATTGTTTTTGTTTTTAGAGACAATGGTGGGATTCTTACTTTAAGGCTAGCAATACTAGATAATACTAAATCAATCTCTAAATCAAGTTTGTTTTGTATATGCGTCATGTTTTGATGAAGAAGAGGTTGAGGAGCTGACTCCACGGTACCAAGATGATGCTTTGCAAAGCCAAGCTCGCCCTCTGTCGCTCTCTGCTGTGATGAATATTCATATATGATTGTTAAGCCTCTGGAGTGACAGCTGGGCTTTTGTTCCCTGTGTCACTGCATTAGTTACACTGTTAACACCAATCACAATGTGTGTGTGTGTGTGTGTGTTTGTGTGTGTGTGCATTTGTGTACCTTTTCGATTGAACTTTTGAACAATTTCATTAACAAGGCTCCCCAGACAGAACTGAATTAATAAGCGAGTTTCACACACCGACACCTGGATAGTCAGACCACACAAGAGCAAAATACACACACACACACACAGTTATTACTTTACTGCAAACTCACAGGTCAGGTAACTTTTTCAACTTCTCTTTTTCTTATACCTCCACAATAAAGCTGTCTGTCTCTTAATCCTCCTCTAATTTTTCCCCCATGATGTAACCATCTTTGACAGTGTGTCTGTTTTAGTGTGTGGATAGAGATTTTAGAAAAGGGGAAGGGGTGTCTTGAGTCAGGGGGGAGTCTGTGTAATCCAGTTATTATAGTGATCTGGGTAATTTAATCTGTTCTGATTAGGATTAGGCTTCATTCAGTTTAATCCAGTAGAAAAAGTCTGTCACAGCGAAGCTCGCAAGCTAATAAACACCAAACGGTAACAGAGATATAAAAGTAAAAATTATATGTAATTCAAAGTTGCTTACTGTAAATGAATGTGTCTGAGAAACCCTGACAAATCTAGATTTCATTTGTTGACTTTTTTATGGGAAAACTTAAGGGAAAAACTGCAGATAATATTAAAACCAAATGAAGCAAAAGTTTGGTTGAAGCTCATCTGCTCTTTTCTACAACTCCTGTTATTGTACGATATAATCGTTCTGGATTATTGTGTGTGTGTTTGTGTGTAAGCATGTCTGCTCTGCTGCAGGCTATAGCTGGCTGATTAAATTACCCCACTGTCTGATGGGAATTAGGGGGTTGCACTGACAGCTAATTTGGTCCAAAGACGTGCTGTCATGCTGCCATGCAAACCATGGGTGGTGCTGGGATATCAGGGGTGGGGGGCAGGGTGTGGCCGGTTGTTGGGGGTGCTGGGAAGGGGGCAGGGAAAAGGGAGTCAGGATGAAGTCATTTCTCTAGAGCAACTTAATTAGATCCACCTCCTTCCTGTACATGCACCCATGTATACCAAACACAGCAGGTATGAAATCTACACACACATACACACACACACACACGCACATATGGGTGCATCATTAGACTCCTTAACCCTGCCTTTAAAATGTAAATCATTGCTTATCTTCCTCTCCCTGCTGGTACCCTCTGGGCCATTTTTCAATCACCCCACTTTCTTTACAGCTTGGTAAATATACAATATAAATATACAATAGATTATTGCTTTTAAATATTGTAAATCATGATTCAGTTTTTGTGTCAAATATGCTGTCCCACCCCAGAAAAAGATAAGATATTTACAGATTTTAATCAGAAAAACATGTGTTTTTGGCAATGCTATTTAGTTTGATGTATTTCATATTATGTTAGTAATGATGTCAACAAGCCTGTAAAATACTCAATACTAAATCAGGAGACAGCAAATATCAAGACAGTGATGTTGAAGAAGGTCTTCTGTTCATTGCAATATATATGTTCCCCATATTGTCCCACCTTTGTGGTCCCTTATTTCCCCTGATAAGTGTTTTGAACATTTATGGTCAGAAAATGACATGAGATGTATGACTGATGTGTGATTGTTTTTTGTGTGTGTATGTGGGTGAGTGCATGATTTCTGCTAACATTTTGGCGTGAACAGGATGAGCAGTTGAGCTAAAGCACTGTGTGGTTCATCTGGTATACGACACTAAAAAGATAGAAAATAGTAAAAATAAGACCAAAACTCAAATGAAATAAAATAAAAATTCAAAGGATATATATTAATAGATTAAACCTGTGGAGGAGAGGAGGTCAAACTTTCATTCATAATTCGCTGATGTGGCACTGTTGGCCTAATAAGTTTTTTAAAATAGTCCACAGCTGCCTCCGGATAAGAGCAATAATACCCTCCACGGTCTGCTGATAGTAATTACAAGTCGAACACAAACATTTTATTCCACAATAAAAAAGCCTGGTCAGTAGGTTTCTTCCAAAATGACCTTCTTTTGTCCTCCTTTATTCTAAGAAATGTGATTTAATTTTGAATCCAGAGCAATCAAACTGCGTGTGTCACATGAGTCATACAGATCGGGTGACATCATATATGTTGCTCATTGACATTGTGTCTGTTTGTGTGTGTGTGGAGGTGTGCATCAGACATGAGTCCATAAATCCTTCAGTATACTTGTCCCCAGGGAGTGAACTCTGACACTAGACTGCATGGATTGTCTCTCAGAAGCACCACAGTGGCTCAGCATCTTTGTATTCATTTTTTACACTTAGCCCTTTTTCCACCTTTGTAAAATGGAGAGTCATTTTTACCTGTAATAGTAAAAAATAAACCTAAATCTTTGTTTATTATCTATTGATATTATTTAATATTTTAACTGAAACATAAGCGAATCCTATTACGTCTTTGTGCAGCAGTTGTCTCTTTGTCCTTTACGTTCTCCATTTGTTCATTGTAAATGAATTATTGTTCATACAGACATGCAAATGTCCTTCAGACTTGCTCGCTAGAAAGATTAATGGTCAGCATCAGCAGTGTAGTTAATAATCAATACAGAAGTAAAGATATATGGAAAGACTGTGGCATGTGAAGGCAGATAGAAACCGGCTGGAGGTACAGGGAGTGGATGAAATACACATAACAATACATACAGCAGCTGCCTTTAAAGGAATTGTTTCACATTTTGTAAAAAAAAAAAAAAAATGCTTAATTGCTTTCTTGCTAAGTTAGATAAGAAGATTGATACCACTTTGATTGTGAGTAGTATCAATCTTCTTATTGAACTCTCACGAAGAATTTGTGTTTTGATTCTATGGATGTTATTGCTCCATCAGCTACAACATAACTCCAGTTTTCTAATTTCCAATTCAGGTATTCAATCAATATGATAGGATATCAGTGGTTGGACTATGAAGAACCTCTCATAAAGGTGATGAGAAAGCAAAGGGAAATCAAATCATTTCATCTGGGATTATATCTCAAAAGGAGTTCCATATTTTGTTTTAATTTTGTGTGTCTTGATGTGTTGATGAGTATCTGAGTGACTGATGTTGAAACATTACTGGTGTGGACAGGAGTGTTGGCCCTCCGCTGGCAGAAGTTTAATATCGAGTAATTCAAAGTAAATTAAATTAGAGAGACTAAGTAACCTCATCTGCTCAATATTGCATTTCCGAGAGAGAGTGTGTGTGTTTATGTGGCATTGCAAACCACATAAACCATAATTTAGATTGATGAAAACAAGGTCTTAATAAAGCTGCTGCAGTTATTGTAATAACATCTGTGTCCTGTACAGCCAGAAGAGTGACTTTGTTGATGAATTATAAAATTCACTCCATTAACTGCTTTAGATTAGACCCAACAATGCACCTCTCTATCTCTGGGGCAATTTAAAAGGCCAAAACAGGGTTCGTTGAGGACCAAATTTAGCCTCCAGGCCTTGTTTTGGATTGTCCCATTTTACCAGTTAACCAGTACAAAGTAAGGTTGATAATCAATCCGGGCATTGTACACTGAGTTTCTTTACATCTCTTTGACTCAGCGTGTCCCCTCCATAAACAGATGTGTATGCAGTGAGAGAGCCGGGGTCACAGAAGAGGGGCGACTGAAAGAGAAAGAGGTTAATAAATGAAGAGAGATTTATGGATGCTCCGGTCGTAAAACTGATTGGCTGTGACATTGAGAGTGATGCCTACTAGCACATGCAACATATGACACACACACACATACACACACACACTCACACACACATACACCATCACTAGATACAAGTGTTAAATTATATGCTTGTGGATATGTGCGTTTCCATAAATGTGTACATACAGATGAAGACTCAGCAGCATGGATGAGTGGGCCCAGTTGTGAGCTCTTCAGTAATCAGTCTGCTTTTTCAACTCAGAGAACCAGAGGACCTATTGATGATCTATGCACAACACACACTTCTCTCTGATTTAGACACACACACACACACACACACATTCAATGTGTAACAGTAAGAGGAGAAGGAGACATCAAGGAGAAAGAGAAAGACTGAGAGCTGTGGTCAGATGAGTAAGCAGAGTTCTGCTCCAGACTCGCAGGGAACAAAATCTATCCCACAATCCACTGCTTAGGGTCATTCAGTCCTGGCGTTGTCATGGTAATGAGAATTTAATAGCCCAGACTTTCTAATGTCTGTATTTCAATGTGTGTGTGTGTGTGTGTGTGTTCCTGTACACACATGCATGTTAGATGAGTTGACTGCTGGGTCGATTGGCTTTTAGCCATCTAATCATGGACAGCCGAACCCCCACTCTGCTCTTCCACCCTGGGGATTTTTCTGTGCAAATTTGTGTCTGTTGCATTTGGTCTATTGACTTTAATGCATATCAAAAATATGTTCAGAGCATTTGTTTTATTCGTCCTGGACTACCAGTGAGGAGGGATTTAGTGCAGACACTATGAAGTGACATTTTAGCCAACATTTTATTTTGTAAACTCAATAAAGCATGTCTTATTGATGGTGTTACTTGACATTAGGGCTGCATTATCAATTAATCTATTGGTTGTTGTTTTCTAATTAACCGATTTATCCTTCAGTATACAAAACATCAAAACAATACTAAAAATGTCTATTATAGTTTCTTAGACCTCAAGGGAGCGTTTTCAGATGTATTTTTTGTCAAACAGTAAAAAGAACCCAAATATCCTGTATTACATTTATTATGATATAAATCTGGGAAAAGCAGAACATCTTTCAAATTACGTAATTGATTAAACCATTTCCTGCTTATCAACTTATTGATTAATCAACTTAACACTGTGTGAATAGTGAACTTAAAGGTCAACCTCATATTCAGATATATGTATATACTAATAGTATGCTTAGACAATAATGTGTCCATGTTTTTTCCAACAAAATTTCCATATTAAAATCCTTAAAACAGTATCTACTCCTTCATCATTAAGAACCTGGAAGAAAATGCAAATATTTCTAATTTCTAAAGTTTTCCTGTGGACACAAGACGTCTCCTACTTCACTGTAAAGTCCATTCTCAGTGTCACTGTGCACTGGAGGCTCCAGGTTTCTACACCACACTTGTATAAGTTGCAAATTGGACCAGGGTTGACTGACATAACTTATTTGTATTGGTGCATTTGCAATAATGTGTGTTGTATATCATAAATGGTTTATACAGTAAATGCACTGTGTCTATTCAAAATGTTCAAGTACAAGCAAAATATGAGTCTCCACTTTTCTCACAAATTGGCAAATGATGTCAGTGTCCTTCAGAGCAGCACTTCATTAAATTTTAAAAGAAACTCTTCTGAGACAACAATAGAGATAATTTGAGAGTCCATTATGATTTTGTAAGCATTGCTGCAGGCCACCTAATTGACCTGACAGTGCTGTAACATCAGTTAGTCATTGTCAACAAACAGCTTCTAGTACCTGGATGCATAATATAACATTATGCAGCTGTTTTTAGTTTATGTAACTGAATTGGATTATTTTATAGTATGATATTTATAGTGACTTGTAGCCATCCTACAAACCTGGAATAATTGGTTTATGGTCATAAAGCAATAATACAAAATGATCATCACCATCATTGGTATCATCTTCATAACCATTAGCTTACAGTAATCAGCAGCAGGCAGCACATTATCGTACAAAATGATGGAATTATTAGACATTTGCCTTTCTGTTTATGGAGCATTGTGCTGTGTAAGTTCAGACAATCTTTTTTTTACTGTTCAGAGTGTGTGTGTGATAAAGCGTGCATGATCTGTGCTGCTGGAGTCTCAAGTTCACCACACAGGTTATATTTTCGCTTCAGGCCACTTCATATTAGAGATTATAAAGATCAGGTCTCCTTTCCTACATGTTTGTGTGTGTGTGGAGTGTGTGTAGGGGGCACACACATGCACACACTTCTGACAAAAGGGGGGGGGGGCTATAGCTTTTGATCTGTCTTCCTGATGAAGATGGAGGGCACAGCTTAATAATACTTCCATGCATACAGGAGGCCCCCTCTATACCTCTAGGGCACCAGAGGCAGCAGGCTGAGCTTTACAATACTTTACCCCAGAGAGGCCTCACCCTGCTGGGCTCCTGATGGCTGCACCTGGCCCCCGCAGCTTGGTCTTCTGAAGGAGAGCATAAAACCATGCATGATCCACATCGCGTAAACCAGCTGTCTACCTCATTCATACAAACTGGTGTCTTTGGGGACATTGTGTGTTATCCTCCGTGATTTTGGGTTGTTTTTCCCCTGCTGTTCTGGTCCGGTGTGCATATGTGTGTGTGTGTGTGTGTGTGTGTTGTGAGATATCATTTTTCACCCTACAGGGGCTCTGACTAACCCTGTAACCAAGCCTCCTCCTCATATGCAACAAGGGGTTGCTTTTTTTTAAGGAGAGATCATACAGAAATATTAACTCACCCCCCTCACTCTTTCTCTCTTTGTGTGATTTTTGATGCACATTAGAGTGAATACTGCTGACAGCTCTTGCCTTATGGCTAATTTAGACATAATTTCATCCAGTCATAGGGGGATTTCTTCCTTAGTGTTGTTACATATTCATATCCACTCAAGCTAACTTGTCACAATTCATTATTTCACCCTTCAACAATAGTTTCTACTGTTTAATATAAATCCAAAAGTATGCACATAGGGAAATTATACCACTCTCTGGTAAGTCACACTTTATAAAAGGTATATATGTTGCAACAAATGACTTAATTGTCAATGAATGGTTCACAAATAGTTTATAGATCAGATCAGTTATAAGCAAACACAAATTCGAGGCATTACGGGTAATAAATAATCAAATCTGAAGTTTTATGTTAATAAAGGGTAATAAAGCTCAAGTCTATTGGCATAAATATAAGTTATAGTTATATAAGGTTATATAAGCTGTCCGCAGCTGTAAATGTTAATAATTCGTTAAACTCACAAATAAACCAATAACCTATTATAAGTGCATTAGTCACAACTTTTTAAGTTACATTACATTGGCACTGAGACTTGATTTTGGATCAGACATATGAGACCAGAGGACTGGCTGAAGTGCCTCCCTTTTTGAAATCCAACATGCTGCTGGTGCTGCTGTTGGACAATCTGGTTCATTTTGGGATCAACACCTGTAATTGGGCCAAGTGGGACAGAGGCTCTTTCATCTGTTTTGGTAGTCAACCAGCAAAAGCAACCCCCCCCCACAACACAAACACAACACAAAAACTGGCTCCCTTTTTCTGATTGGAGAGGAGAAAATCCAGATGTTGGTCCAGTGTACTTCAAACCTACACCACCCTTCATCTGCCCTGTGTGTGTGTGTGTGAGCTGAATGTGTGTGTGTGTTTTGTATTGGAGGAGGCTGTGTCTGCACCGCCCCGTCGGTGTGTACGGTGGGCAGCGTCAAGCTCATTCTGCCCCCGGACTCACAGCCTCACACACATACACGCACACATCCACACACACATATACACACATACACATACATACACTGTAACACTGTAACGAGGCAGGCCTGTTACACCGGGGCTCTTCAATTAGCGCTCCTCCGACGGATCCCTTGCGTGGACATTTTTAATTTTCCATCAGCCTCCTTGGATTTTTCTCATGTGGCTCTTTTTGCGCATAGAGCCCGGACGCTGCTGAGGTGTGTGTATCTGTATATGTGTGTGTGAGAGAGAGAGCAATTGAGCCATTTCGGAGATGAAGATAAGCGCTCGGTGAATGGGAAACACCAGCACGGAGGCACCGCTACCTTTCCCCGATCTTGACAAACACGCTCATCCTTCCGTTGGCGAGATTTGCGCACCCGAGACCGGAGCCGGTGTGTGCGCTCTGCGGGGCCGGGCGCGCGTAGTCTGGGAGGAGTAGGGAGGATGGAGGCGTTTTTTACAGAGGTAAGCCATGGAGAATGTGTGTCACTGTGTATCGGGCTAAACATTAATGACAGATTAAGCGTTCCCGGTGTGACAGACCCTGCATTTGCACCGATGCACGACCTGTATGCTGCAAGATGCTTTTACGGATTTGTCTTGTGATTCGCGTCGGGTTTGGTTACGGCAGGTGTTGCCTCTGCTTCTGTCGACTAGAACCATTCTTCACCGTTCCCAACGAAACCCGCCAGGAATAGGCCTGTGCCTTAACTGCATGTCTATATCGATTGACAATAAACACCCCGTTTATTTTATTTTCACTGCAGAGCATCAGGGCCTGGCTGCCGGCTTGGTGAATTAATTCACAGCAGAGCCGCAGATAAATTGGCCAAACGAGAGCTGACACGGGCTTTTGCATCCTCCATAAGGCTGGCTCTCGGATTAAAGCCAATCTGTTAACGGAGGGTATACCGTGTTGGCCTACAGCAACTGCCCTCCCACACCATGCTGCTGTTTTATGGTTTTTTTAGTGCGCTGTAAATGGGATGGAGCAGGGATCCATGGGTGGGTATGGGTCGGCTGCGGGTACTGAGGAGGGGGTGAAGGAGGAGAAGGAGGAGGAGGATGGCTATCTGGCAAGTGGAAGAGAGGAAGAGGAGAATGATGAGGGCTGTGTTTGTATGTGTGTGTGTGTGTGTGTGTGTGTGTGGATGCAATAGGTAAGACAGGAGGGAGACAAATGGTTAACAACTGGCATCTAATTGAATATTAGGTAAATCAGTGGTTATTAATTCAACCTACTGCTCATACTCCCACTGCCTGCTGGGTAAGAACTCATCACATGCTTTCACCTCCAGCATCCTGGGATTTATTTCACAAACCATTATCTTGCTTGTTAAACCAAGCCTGATGTTGGTGGTGTCCGAGCTTTCCCTTCAGTCTACCTCTCATATGTTTCCATTCTTCCATCCATTTAGGGTCTTCATTGTAGACTGTCACACCCCCCCTCAGGAGATGCAAGCCTCTTACCTCTTTCCCCTCCCTTAATTTCATTTGTGTTTTGGTCCACACACATGCTCTCATGAAATGCCGTCTTGTAGCGGACTTTGATGCCAATATCCGTCCTCTCCAAGCTACTTATCCTCCCCCCTCTTAAGTTAATCTGATATGGGTTTAAATGCCTCTCACATTGGCAGTGATGTCATGCCATTTATTAGTGTGTGTGAGTGGTTTGTGTGGGTATATGTGTGGGTACCAGGACTGTGGTGAGCACTGATGTCCAATGGAACACGGAAGTGTGATCCATTGAATCCTGGCAATAATATATGGAATGAACAATAAAAAGGGTAAATGACTGCATGCAACTGTTTGGATGATCCTACAGCAACAGCTAAGTGTAACAACCCTTTCCCATCAGTCTGTCTGTAGTATATTGATCATAGAATTGATTAACAGACCACCACATCACCAAGCCTGCAGCCGCACACAGTACAGACTCTGAAAGCCTATATGAGACCTGAAAATGGAGTGACTTATTGAGTTATGATGTTCAGGCCTGCAGTCCTGCATAAGCTGCATATCTGATACCCAGAATCATGACTTCATGCAACGGGGCTGCTGAATAATCAGTGCTCTCGGGAGGTGTCTGTCCAACATCCACTTAGTTTCATTCCTCTGTTATCTTCATCGCTCCATCACTCAATCTTATAGCCTTGCGTTCCTCCACTTACAGTATATTTATCCCTTAAACCAGAACGAGTGAACAGCTGACCTCTCTCTCTGGCTGTCTCTCAACCCAGGCAGAAAACATGATGGCTGGCCGACCAGCCAAGCGTGAAATGTCAGGTGGCAGTAGACTGCTGTATAATCCCCTCATATTCAAACTGGATTGGTTAGTAGTGGAATATGGTAGTTGTAGTGACATCGTGTGCTCTAAATACAGACAAAAATCTATGTCCTGGTTAGGATGGCTGAAAAACAACATACATTTGAGACGTTAGAGGCTATTATTGTCCTAGGAGAAACATAAAGGATATTCAAATATTTAAGAAAAGTTGTGTTTAAATGTGATCTTGGCATATATTTCTTGAACAATCCAGAATAAGTAAGTTTTCCTGCATTGTAAGTAAGCAGATACCAATACTAAGTTCGGGTGATCTCTTGTTGCTGATCTAAGGTAACTATTTAAAGCTGGTAGGTAACTTTTAGTCATATTTACTTCTTTACTTTCACTATATCCCGACAGTAGTAAGATAATCTGTGAAAAAAATCCTACACCCTAAAACTTGCACCCTTAATGTCTTAATTAAAGACTATCAATGTGTAAGTCAATTATGTAAACAGGAAGTGACTGCAGCATCTCAAGCTAGCATAATTTCCAAAAATGCAGTTTAGCATGAGACATATTTAATTATGCTAACCTAGCTGATGTCATTGCTCATATTTTTTAAATATAATTGGCAGAAAGATCATTTCAGGTATGTCGACCGTGTTAACAAGCTAACGTTAGCTTTGTCAATCAGGTCAGTTGGCTTAACGAAAGTACTGTAATATTTAACTAATATCTACATAAAAACTAGAGTGCGTGGTGCAACTGGTTTTAATTTAGTGATGCATAAATCTCCACTCAAACACTAAACTCAATTTAAACATCTAATTAAATGACAACTAGGCGAATGGTCAATCTGCCGATGCAGATCAAGTGAAATGATCAAAAGCTCCAGAGCAGCTACTATTTCATAGACCTTGAGGTGAGATATTTTTCTCAACAGAACTGAAAAGCATAGAACTTAATTGTTCACGCAGGTGCAAATTTGGTGTTTGACTCACCAAGACGTATATGTATAATAGTGCCAAAAAACAGGCAGTGTAGCCTTAATGTGTGTCTCGTATAGCAGCTGTGCATCAAGGCGGCCTCAGCACCTGAATTTCTGTATGTGTCTGAGTAAGATGGATGACATTTGGTCTCCAGGGTGACATTTTGTGTTTGTGTTGGTGTCTGTGTGATAGATCTGGACTGGATTACAGGTGCACAGCCAGCATGAACCGATATCCGGGAGACAGACACGTGTGAATGTGAAAAGAACAGCTTTTGACACATTATCTCAAACCTGCTGTCACTGTCACTGTATCCTATCTGCCTGTTTATAGCCTCACTTTCTGTCCTGTCTTTGCCCGGTCAACAGTCCTCTCCTCTTTTCTGTCTTTCTCTTCTTTGCTCTGTTGTTTACCACAGTCTGTATAACTGAACAGGCTGTAAATAATTATTTATTACTCTGCAATATGTTGAGTGGCCACTACTGAGAATAGTTATGGGGCAATGAAAGCTTTCTCACACCAAGGTTGATTTTTCATGCAAAGAACTTGCGCTGCAGTAAAATATTAATGCGTTCTATATGGTGGCTTGCATATAAACTGTGAAACATTCATGGAAACAAACTAAGAAATCTCTAAGCAGCTTCCATGTTTGAACTTGATCTATGGCAGGTGTCTCCTAATTGCTGCATTCAGTCTTTTGTGCAATGCATTTTGACCTCAAAAGCTTAATTTAGGGTCCATAGATTGTGGTCCAAATTATGCAGGATTTCGATTGAAGTGCATACTGCAGGAAGCTGGTTCAGTGGAGGAAAGGGAACAGTCACTGGAGATGTGTGACCTATATTCAGCAGCTCCAAACGCATTTGTTCTGCTCAGGAGCTGCATCAGCTTTGCTTCTCTCTCCCTCTCTTTCTCTTCTCTTTTCCCTTCCCTCTGATGCTCTCTCCCTGCGGCCACTCACTTGGTGATTCTCCATCTCAGTCAACCAACCACTTTTGGTGCTGCTCTGCCAGTCTCTCTCTCCTCCTTCTGGCATTTTTCCAGCTCTGCCTTTCCTCTCCTTCCCCTCTCCTCGTATTATTCCCCGCCTCACTGTCCTGCTTGTTCTGCATGTGTAGGTGTGAGACTACAGCTCCGCTTCAGTCAAACCACATTAAGGCTATTTTACAGTGTTTGAATGAAACAGCATCACCAAGAAGAATCCTACTCTTCTCTTAAAGGGCTGTGATGTAACTGGTCAATAGGACAGAATATATATCTCAAAATGTGTTTGATAACAATTAATGTAATGATGAGTATTTCTTTTTTAGTACATTGCATTTAAAGTAGTTGCAGTTTAAATATAATTTCTTACAATTTCCAGACTTTTGCACTACACTGTGGGTTATTTGATTGGTTAAACTAATGGTTTTATATATAGGAATGCGACTAATGATTATTTTGATGGTTGATTGAGAAATGTCTTGTTTTGTCCAACCAACAGTCCAAAACCCAAACATATTCAGTTTACAACAATATAAAACACAAAAGCGGACCATCATGAAAATGTAAAATCTAGAACCAATACATTTTTGCATTTTTGTTAGAATAGGTGACTTAAATAATAAATTGATAATTAATTTTCTTGTTCAATAGATTGATTGTTTTAGCTCTGATTATAATATTATAGGTATTCTCTTATTCATTTCCAGGGTTTCAGACAAGTTATTTATTGTAAATTGTAATATGATTAAACCTGGATTTGTAAGAGACTCATAGTATCATAAATCTACATCACCATGCTTGAATATTAATGGTGTTTTCTATATTGCTTCACTTTTACAAACTACCTCTAAAAACATCCACCTTAATACAGTGAAATGTATATTTTATGTATAAAGCCCAAACAAATCATACATTTCACCTTTGTAAAAACAATCCCTAATAAATTCATACATACAAATAAAAAAATAAAATAGTTAGTGAATAATACAGCACACCATAACCCACAATCCACTTCACCTGAACACCATCTCCCAGCATCCACCAATGCTTAGAGAAGAGAGGCTGTTTCCATGGTGCCCTGTTTCCACACTGTTGCCGTGGAGTCTTGTTGCCAGGGTGCCGGTGGGGGTGGGGGTGTGTGACTGTAGTTTAATCCAAGATGAGAGAGAATGTGATAATTAGCAGCCTGCTCAAAACTGCCTCTCAAAGAGGATTTGCACTGTACAAACACACACTCGCACACACATACACACACAAACACACACACAAAATAACATTAACAGCTGCTTCTCTCTGCTGCCTTTATCCCTGTTTGTAATTTAGCAGTATACTCTGATCTGGTTTACTTTTGGATAAATCATGTGTTTGTTTTGGAATTCAGGACAGGTTCAAAGGATATTTGTCTAAAGCCGCAGATATTCCAGAATAACAGTAAAGCAGCCAAACAGGGAACATGATGCACTGATACACTTAAAACTTGTGGCACTTCTGTATCTACAGTAGTTCTGTGTGAGAGAGCTTTGACCTTATGGCTCTGTGTGTGTGTGTGTGTGTGTGTGTGTGTGTGTGTGTGTGTGTGTGGGTGGGTGTACAACATTGTTGAATGTTCTCACAAGGATAGAAAGAAGAGAACATTTTGGCTGTTTTGATGGCTTTGCAACAGAGCCATTTTAGAGTATGTTTAATAGTGGTAAAAATAAATACATTTAATTCAGTTAAATTATGCAACTGTAAGGGATAATTATTTTCATTTTCAATTAAACCGCTGATTATTTTAATGTTTAAGCAATTTGTCTGTAAAATGTCAGAAAATAGTACATGTTGAAGTCTTTAAAGCCCAAAGATATTCACTTACCATTTCCATTTAGCACTG